CCAGAGAGCCGGTAGAGCCAGCGCTGGCGGCAGAGGAGGTGGAAGGCTGGAGGTTTCACTTGAGAGCAAATGTTCCTCTACGTTTTTCTTCAGCTGTTGTCAAAAGGCGACATCCGGGGGGTGGTTAGTTTCCTTTGAAGAACCTATGGTAACCTAGTTTGTTTGGGTCAAAGGAGCGCTCAGATTTGATTTGAACGTCAAACATGGCACCGGAGCATTACTTTCAGGAAGGTCTTAGCAACTCAGTTCGGTTCAATTCTCTCAATTCGGGTTTCCATTTGGCATGTGACGTCAGACTGCGCACCCACCGCAGCCTGAAAACATAGCACGGAAGTTCCATAGCAGACATTTCTTTTTCTGATAACTCCAAATACTGTACTGAATCGAAACGCGGGAAAAAAAGGGACTGTTTGGGTGGCCCATCTTTGAGTTTGTCCATCTCAGCAGTTCCCTGACCACTACTGTATACCATTTGTGGTTTCTAGCTGGGAGAAGCCGGCGCTATCCTACGTGCGACCTGGTCGTTTTATCTGAACCTTCGGACTCTTCCACCAGTTGTTTTGGGGCAAGCAACTCAGGAGGCAAAGGTTTTGGACAAGGGCCAAATGATCGCAGGCTGTCATTACAGCTATTTACTGGTTTCTTCCTGTTTCGTGAGGCATGGGTTTTCGCCAGAAGGGCGAGCTCACGATTCAAAGTTTCGCCAGGGCAAAGTGAAGGCCAAAGAGGAGGCATTACGCCTGAAAACGCTGTGCCTCTCGCGGAAAGTCCCTGGCTGCCTGCAGCAAGCATTGCGCCGAGCACGGTGCCGGCAGAAAGATCAGGCGCACTCGCTCCCACGTGGTGTGCTGAGCTGTTGTGAAGAGTTGTGAAGAGAGCAGCATTATTTTTGGGGGGCTGTTCTTCCCGAAAGCCGAGTTGCACTAGCAAGTTACATGAGGGATTGCTTGAGCAAGTTACACAAGCAAGTTACATCAGAGGCTGCTAGAACAAGATTCCCGGGGAAGATACACGAGAGTTTTGCCAAGCAAGTTGCACGAGCAAGTTACATAAGAGTTTGGTTGAGCAAGCAACACGAGAGGTGTTCAGCGGTGTTTGGCTACAGAGGTAGACTAGTGAATTCGCTAAAGAAAGAAAGAAAGAAAGAAAGAAAGAAAGAAAGAAAGAAAGAAAGAAAGAAAGAAAAAAAGAAAGAAAGAAAGAACAAAAGAAACAGCTAGACAAGTGCGGGCCTGCGCAAATTGCTGGGATTGGTGTGGACGATGTGCGAAAGCTGGGCGCTTGTGTTATTCGTTGCGTCCGCGAAGTTCTCTGCGGGGATTGGTGTGGTCGATCAAAAGCTGCCGCGGGGATTGGGGTAGTAGCCGTGCACACTCGCGGTCCCCGCACAGCCCATTGCGTGGATTGGTGTGGTCGATGAGCAAAAGCTGAGGGCTTGCGACACTTTTTGCGTTGCGTGGATCGGCATGGTCGATGTTGAAAAACTGAGAGGAATGATGCTTGATTAGTTGCCCACGCACAGAGATCGGCGTTAATGTCAACAACATGAGGGGGAAATGCTACCTTTCTCCCTGGGAAGTGGACTGCAAAGCTTGGTTTGGCCTTGAGCTCGCACCCCCCTCGGTCTACACGATAGCACGATAATCGAATCGCAGCTTGTGCGACAGTAGTACGCAAGGTACACTGCGCAGCCCCGGCTTGAAAGTCGCAAACCGCAAACTTTAAGCCATGCGCAGGCGCAGCTCCTGCCCGAAAAAAGTCAAGTGCGAATGGGGTCCGCGACGCGCGCTTTCGAAGCTCATCGCGCATGTTCAGTGTGAAATTAGCGTGCAAATTACAGTAGCCTTGGCTCGACTTTTCCAGAAAGTACTGCAAAGCGTGCAAAACCAATGGTACCCTTTTTGGGGTAGGTGCACCACCCATTTTAGTCTACAAAGGGTGCTTCCGATGAAATTGCCAGCCTTTTTTGTGCAGCCAACTAGCACAAGAGAACGCGAAGAGCAGTACCGCGAGACCTAGACTGCTTAGCCCCGCAAAATGTTTCACACGTTGCACTGGTACTACGTGGGCGCATGCGCAATGCTTTCGGGCCACCTCTCTTCTAGTTTCAGAACCAAACTGTTGAAGGAGCTGAGCCGCAATCAAAGAAGGTTAGCGGATCAACATTCATTGCGCCCCTTGGAATGGGAATTGGACGAGATCCTGTCTAACTGTAATCTCGTGAATGTGAACGTCACGAAAAGCAAACCATTGCACGCACCTGCGTTGCCTTCGTCCATGCAAAAACTATGATGCCATCATTGCTTTAGAACCTTGTCGTGGCTCGAGGAACCACATCCAGTGTTCATCTGCCTATGATCTTCAGCATGTCTGGTGGACATAAATCCCCATGTAAATGATGTCCACCAAAAGATAAGGTGATTCCTTGTCAATTCTCTATGGACATGCGGATTTCGATTGTCAACGCGAGCAAGCGATTGGCTTGCAAATGTCTGAGAGCTCTAGCTCGCAATCGGGCAAGGGAGTCCTGAGTCCCAACCAGATATGGATCTTAGGCTCGATCAAGGCGGATACACTTGCCGCTGAGACACACACCGCACACACCTTTGACACCGAGTTGGGAGCCACCTCACAAGAGGTTGGTGGACAATCCCCTTGTCCACCAAAGAAATCCCCCTATTGACCGTAGGAGCCAAACCCTGGCGGATCCAATTCAGATGATGACAACCCTTAGGAAAACAATGGCTGTTTTATTGACCCCACGGCTTTCATGGTGGTGAGCGTTGAGCGGATCCTCCGTTGCAGGCGAGCGAAAGACCGAACCCAAGGAGTCGGAGACGACGCTTGGCCTGCACGAGGAAACCCGCGGGGGTCCTTTCAGGTGAGCGCCTTCTTTTTGTTGCTCCATTGGTTTGGAAGTCATTATCTTCCAATTTCGGACACGAGCAAGCCGTGATGTTTCTTGTGTCTCATGGTCTCATGTCGATCCTTCTACTTGGGTTTGTCTCAAAATAGGGGAGCCCGCAAAATGATTTGTTTCCTTGTGGTTGCTCTTTCCAACCAACCCAAAATGGGTAATTACCCTCAGAGAACACCACACCAATTTGAAAGCCTGGCCTCGGCTGAGACTGCAAGTCATCGGCTCTTGAGACCTCCCATAGTTGAGCCATCTGACCGTTTCAGGCAGAAGCTTCGCCCACGAAGGGGGCCAGTTGTCAACCAGTTTTCGTTTTTTTTTCTTCTTGGAATTCTCCGGTTTTTGTTCAGTTTTTGTTCTTGTTTTGGGTTTTGATTTTGTGCCTCAGTCGGCGGGCAGCGAAACCGATTTCCGTGAGGCCTTGCGGCCTGGAGACGCCGGAGCCTGCGCCTCAAAGCAGCGCATGAGAGTTCCCCCCCTCCCCCCCCCCCTCGCCTGGGACTATGACCCGAGTCATTTTTTTCTTAAAAAAACACCAGGTGGTATTGAAATGTGCAGAGTGGTATTGCGCGAAAAAGGCGGATCTGATCTCCGCGCCCATGGGCGAAAGAAGTGTCCCTTCTTTTCGTCCTATTTTGATGACGCTCCCATGTATGGCACGTGGTGTTGAGGCAAGCGGCCGCCTTGGGACACGTCGCGAGCGTAGCTCTGAGGCAAAGCTCTCCGGCCAAGGCAAGGGATGACTCTAGGGAATTGACTCGGCTTCAAAACGGATTCCGTTTTGGGATTCCGAAGCTCAGCTTGGATCATGTTGGAGAGCACGTAAGCTTGGGAAGACTCTGTGTTCAAAATGGGTTTAGGGAGCAAGACCCCTTCTCCCTGTGTCACTGGGATCTTGACTCATGTCTTCGATGGATCTCAAGGCCAGAAATCTTGGAGCTTGAGGTGGGGGTGGTTGGAGTGCCCCGATGGAGCTGATTCTCGTTCTTTCCGTGGTAGGAACCGTTTTTTTTGTTTTCTCCTTTTTTTTTTATTCTTCTTTTTCTACATATGGGTGTGGGTCAAAAATAGGTACACAACATGGAACCCTGCTAAATGGACAGAAGGACTAAAATCTGTGGTCCCTGGTGGGTTTACCTTGGCCCCGATCCATTTGGGAATTCGAAAAAAGAACCACCGAAGCCATGGTACCAGAGAAGCACGAGCTTGTTTCAATTCGGTTCCAGCTTTTGTTGAGTTGGCTTTTCATTTTATCCTCTCATAGATTTGTCATCCAATTGGTTTCCTTTTCAGTTGCTCTTTTTTGAACCACCCCGAAAGGGTGCCCTCAAAAACGACCACAAGTATAGCACACGCGTTCGGAGCCCTTCCTTCGGAGCCAGGGCGACCCCACCCCGAAGGCCGCCCCCTTGCCCACAGAGCCTCCGCCGCCCTGGGACGCTCGGATGAAGAGATCGATCGGGTGTAGTGGAGAAGCCCGCCGGGCAGAAGATGAAATCGTGGATCAAAACTGAGGGGTGAAGGTGAACTTGGCTGTCGCCAGACATAGATCACCTTCAATTCTCCGCCTTTGAGCGAGACCATGAACACCAGGGTTTCAGTCTGACTCATTTGGAGTGATTGCGCTGGCCCGTGCATGGTTGGTATCAGGGTTAAGTGTCGTATGGTCTTTCCTCAGGCTGCTGTGTTGGAGTTTTGTGTGAGTTGGAGCTTGGTGGTTTGGTTGCTAGAACGAGATCACCTATGACTATACGGATCTCTCAGTTCAGGTTGGCGTTTTTAGTAACTAGTGTAGAGAGGCCTGGGGGTCAATCAAATTGAGTCTGTCTCAAAATGAGGGGCTTTCATGGTTTCAAAGGGACATGAACAGCAGGCCAGCGATTTTAATGTGGTTCGTACCTTGGGACTTGTGTGCCATGGTCAGAAGACCTGCTTACTTGAGTTTATTCTGGATGGTCATATCTTGGGACTTGAGACAACAAATATCGGAGGCTTGTCCAAGGCTCACGTGTCGCATTCGAGACAACCTAGGATAGTGGGATGAGCAATCAAGCCGATTCGGCAAGGTGCGGCTTTTTCCCATTTTGTCTCTTGCCACCTGTTTGCTTGCAACAGGTCCGTTCCTCGAGGCTAGTCACATTTTGTACCAGGATGGCATGGGTCGCTGCATGGGTCACCAAACCTAGGTGTGCGTGCCCTACGAGGACCTGCCGAAGGGCCAGAAACTGATTGGCATGACACGAGGCGCGTGCGCGGCAAGCCTCTGCACGCAGGACGACTTTTACTTCTGGAACACGGTCACCGATGAGACCACCTGGGACATTGAGGTGCCAGTAGTAGTTGATATGCGCGGATGCAAAAACCAGCCGTTCTAAACCTACCAAAGGAGCGAGGCAGGCTCTTGCACAATAGTATGTGTATATATATAATATGTATGTGCATGTAACGTATATATATATATATATACACACGTGCTTCTGGACTTGACACTTTGCAAGTCCATTATCTTTTGGCAGAAGACACACAAAGGTTGACTGCAAAGCGAGTTTTCGAAGGCCTCCCACAAGACCCTGGGTGCTTATTTTGCCCCGACCCTGTCACAAGGCGTCCAGTGGTTGCACGGCCAAGTGCTCCGAGCCGAGCTGGATCCGCTAGCCATGCTGAGCAGAACTGGGCCAGGACTGCCTTGATGCCTCCGCCGCGCCGCCCGCCTCGCCCACCTCGCCCACCTCGCCGCTCTCGCCCTCGCCGGAGGCATCGATTTGCTGCGCAGTCGACTGGAGCGAACCGACCTGGAGGGAGATTCCGATCTGGGTACAGCTCTCCTTCTTTCGCGCCGAGGGTGCAGCCGCAAAAAATCCCCCAACAGATTTGGGGCTGTTCTGCAGATGGCCGGATTCGGACAGCCAACATTGTATTTTAAGAAGCGCGTCGACCCAAATTGGGACTGATTCAGATCAACCACTCGGAGCAAAACGTTTTGCGGCGCAACACAGGGCTTGAAAGAGGAAACCAGCCAAAGGGGTCCATTGCCTCTTGAGAGATAAATCTTCTCCTCTGCGGCACGCAATCTTCTGGACTCGGGTAGGCAGTGGCTGGCTTGGATTCAGACGATGACGAGGAGGAGGCGCGCCTGCTTGAGTTTCTATGCTTCAATATGCAGGCTTTAGGCTTTTTGCTTCTTTGAGGCTGTGGGGCTCCCTAGGCCCCATTAATCTTGCTGGTGAATGACGTAGGGTTTTAGCAATGAACCTTCTGCTCTGCATCTTCAAGGTCGGTGCCGGGGGGGATATATATATATATATACGTATGTATATCTAAATCTATCCACATATATATATATATGTATATATATATATATATATATACATATACATACACAAAACAAAACTAATTGGCCGATCACATTTTTCCCCCACCTCCGAGGAAGGACGCCTTCCACCTTTCGTGTGCAGGACCTGGCGCAGTTGGCCGCAGCCTGCCGTGAGGCCAAGGCCGGTGAAGTGAGGGTGGGTCCTGGACGATTCTTCCTTGAAGCAGAACCCTCTGGTGGGATCCACGTGAATTGGAGTCAGGAGGGTACCAGCTTGATGCTGGTTTGTTCCAAGACAGTGTGGAGATGTTTGTGCTGTTCGATTTACAAAGCCTCCGCGGGTCGTTTCCATGTGACGCTGTGAGCTGTCGCTCGGCCCAGGCCTGGTGCAGCCCGCAACCCCTGGTAGCAGCCCCAGCCGCCGAGGCGCCCGAGGCGAAACCGGCGACGGCTCAACTGGCGACCGCCGAGTTGGACGAGGACGAGGCCGAGGTTCCAGGGCGCCGCACGGCACCGAATCCGGAGGAGCCAGAGGAGCAGCCAGAGGAGCCGGAGGCGACCAAGGCGACCGAGGCGACCGAGGCGACGGAAGCACCGAAGCCAGAGGAGAAGACGGAGGCGACGACGATGGAGGAGGCGACGGAGGCGATGGAGGTGCCCGACGTGTGGGAGGCGACTGAGGCGACTGAGGCGACGGAGGCGACGGAGGCGACGGAGGAAGCTGACCAAGTTGCGTCAAGGCAAGAGGAGGAGGAGGAGGAGGAGGAGGAGGAGGAGGAGGAGGAGGAGGAGGAGGATTTGGACGCTCCACATGAGGCCGCGAGTGTGATGGTGCCCTGCGATGGAGATGTGGAGGATGGAAAGGCCAGGGATTTGATGCTGCGGCAATGAAAGCTATCGCACGGACTTGCACACGTTGTTCCAGACCGACGAAAGAATACAACCGGCCTCCACCCATCTTTCTTATCGCCCGAAAGGCATTTGTTTTTTCCGCAGTTTTTGTTTGATTGGAATGCATCCAAGGGTCATTGTTTTGGCAGGCAAGATATCCGCGTTTTGGGGCCAGGCGCACTTGTACGCGGGTGCAAGCTGTGAGACGCTGCGGAGGCGAGGTGCTGGGCCAGAGGCTAGGCTCAGGGTGTCTTCATATTGTGCAGCACTGCTTACCCTCACTGCCACTAGCATGGCAGGTGACAGGGGGTGCCGACAAGAGGAAACCAATCTTCCAGTCGATGTGACTAGAGCGCACCAGTTGGGAAGGAAGCCCCGCGAACCCTGCAAGCCACTTTAAGCCAACTGGCGCGAAACGATTTTGTCCACTCGCATGGCTGTGGGTCAAAACCAATGGTACCATTTTGGGGTAGGTGCACCACCCATTTTAGATTCTATTTTAGTGGTTGGGATGTTCACTGGGAGTACGATTTGAGTTTTGACCCATGGTCACATGAAGCTCCGTGATCCCAGGGAAGCGTGCTTCTTGGCTCCCGACCTGGACACCAACCCGCCCTCGCCCTCGCCTTCGCCACCCCGGTCGCCGTGCATCGCCGCGGCAGGCGGTTTGGTCGGCGGTTGGGCGCCAGGGGTTGGGTCCGGTTTTACCCTGCGAACGGTAGATGGGTGTGTCTTGACCGTCTTGAAATAGGGCCCCCCCCCCATGGATGATTGTCCTGTTTCTTGACCGCCCCAGAAAGTGTATCAAACAAAGAACCACTGAACACATATTTATGGAGAGTGCCATTTGGCACCTCAAGCTGGAGCAATGCTGCGAGCATTCCTGAAACGCCTCGCATTGGACATGGAAAGATGGGGGTTGAAGCTCAACAGCTCATGACCCAAAGCGGCATAAACGCACAGGCTCATGTAAATGTATTCGATGAGATCCTGCGTTGAAGTGCTGATTGAAACCTATGCGACCCATTGGCCCTTTGCTCATGCCGTTGCCATCACCACAGCTTTCAAGCGGAGGTTTGTGCCGGGAACTTCCAACAGCTTTGTGCAGATAGCTTGCAGCATGCGCATGTGGACAGACATATCAAGCGGCTTTGGAGCCCCCGCCACTTGGTTTTCTATGTGACACGAGAAGGCCCGCCCAAAGCAACATGACCATGGCCAACAGTCCAGGAGTCCAGGGCTGATGTGCCAAAGCCTCCAAACAGAAGCAACTTGGGGATGTCCCAATTGGCAACAGTGGTCTAGTTCGACTTGGCGCTAGAAAAGACAACCCCTAAGGCCTCGTCGCCAGGTGGAAGTCACTTGCCGCTGAGGGCAAGCGATTTCTTCGATCTGGTGGCGGCCCTGGATGGTTGCGGGTTGCGACGCTTTGATTTGGTATTTTGTACGATGATGAGGGGATAGTCTGTGGCGGACGACTTTTCAGCTTGGGCCGGCGGTTGGATCTTGCTCAAGTCCATTCGACAAGTTGAAGCCTAAAACAGCCCGTATCGGATGCCAACTGATGATTTTGGGCCAAGCTGGCCGCTTGAAACAGCCGGCTTTGTTGTCCATGGCGTCCATTGGATGAGAGTGAGAGAATTCCAAGGGCATTGAACAGGCGGGCAGCCAGCGTTTTTTTGTTTTTGTTTTTGTTTTCCAGGGCCCCTTGAGCTCCCTGCAGGAAGGAAGGAAGGAGGGAAGGAGGGACGGAGGGAAGGAGGGAAGGAGGGAAAGGAGGGAAGGAGGGAAGCAGGGCAGGGAGGAAGCAGGGAGGAAGCAGGGAGGAAGCAGGGAGGAAGCAGGGAGGAAGCAGGGAGGAAGCAGGGAGGAAGCAGGGAGGAAGCAGGGAGGAAGCAGGGAGGAAGCAGGGAGGAAGCAGGGAGGAAGCAGGGAGGAAGCAGGGAGGAAGGAGGGAAGAAGGAGGGAAGAAGGAGGGAAGAAGGAGGGAAGAAGGAGGGAAGAAGGAGGGAAGAAGGAGGGAAGAAGGAGGGAAGAAGGAGGGACGAAGGAGGGAAGAAGGAGGGAAGAAGGAGGGAAGAGGAGGAGAAGGAGGGAAGAAGGAGGGAAGAAGGAGGGAAGAAGGAGGGAAGAAGGAGGGAAGAAGGAGGGAAGAAGGAGGGAAGGAGGGAAGGAGGGAAGGAGGGAAGGAGGGAAGGAGGGAAGGAGGGAAGGAGGGAGGGAGTGAGGGAGTGAGGGAGTGAGGGAGTGAGGGCGGGAGGAAGGAAGGAAGGAAGGAAGGAAGGAAGGAAGGAAGGAAGGAAGGAAGGAAGGAAGGAAGGAAGGAAGGAAGGAAGGAAGGAAGGAAGGAAGGAAGGAAGGAAGGAAGGAAGGAAGGGAGGATTGGAGAAAGGCTTCAAGTTGGCGTCAAATCAGAGCTGAAATGGAGGTTTTCACCCTCGCATGTCTTTGTGGAGCGGGTTTTAAGTGGGCTAGCTCCCGCATTTCCTCTCCTGCAGGGTACTGCTCACCTGCAATGGTCCCGCTTTCTTCTTGGCTCTCTTGGCTGCCAAACATGTTGCATGCCCCACGTCTTGCCAGGTGCGTGGCCGGCGCGGTGTAGGACTGGGTTGGGGTGGGGGGTGCCCGGTTGGAATTTTCTGCGGTGGTGCCGTTGGGGAACTGACTTTGCAGGATCCCCCGAATAGCTGCGTGAACCGCTCTCTGGCAAGGAGCCCATGTCTTTTTTGACCACTGTCGGGCAGAGCGGCGTGTGGCGCTCGGCTTGGGCATTTGGTCCGCAGCCAAGCTCCGGACAGTTGCTCTGGAGGGTATCTTGCACGGCGAGGGGGTTCAAACAGACCTCACTTTGAACGGGGTTGGTAGAAACCGGGCTACCGCTTTAACATCGCTGATCAAACCATACTGTCGCACATTTCTTCAGTGCTGGGACAGAATCCTTGCATCCCGTCACACAGAGGGGATTCCCAAACCGCATTTGGCGCAAGCATGTCTTGAGTCTTGGAATCGATGGTTTTAGGATTGCGCCTTCTCGCAATCCTTGCCAGCACGTTTTAGACTCACCAAGCCACCGAGCCATCCATCACTGAAAGTGTGGGGGACAAAAAACACGCGGAACCAGCAAATCAATCAATGCCGACGGAATTGTAAACGTGACGGATCAAAAGGGGCGCAACTCTCGTGAGGATCCCCATGGCAACACCCCAATCAAGGCGGTCACAGAGACGCCGAGGCCCTGCTAGGTTCTTCCCGGACGCACTTGAAGCAGGGTCTCCGCGAAAAGTTGTCCGAGGTCACCCCCTCAATCTGTCTACCTTGCCTAAATCGGCACCGGGACCCCATGGCAACGGGTTGAATGTGGTTTCTCAAGCCAATAGGGCCTCATCGCCCCCCTTTGAGACAAGCCCATTCGGGTCCTCGGAAAACTCGGCGCTCTCTGTGCGAACCGAGGCGCTTGGGTGAGCTCCCCAAAGCGGCAGGCGCGGATGCACATTTGTTCTATGGACGCAGAGATACGTTCTTCTTTCGCGGGCTTTTTTAAAGACTATGCCAAATGTCCTCGTACGAGTTACTCGTCTGTCCTCGAATTCAAGAGTCTCACGTTTGAATTGGACCAAAAGGTGATGCTCAAACCCTGAAAAAGGAGACATATGAGGACCGCTGTGAATAGACGGTTTCGATTTGAGGGGATTGAACATTTGAACCCTTGCTCTTGCTGGTTGTCTACATGGGAAGATCAACCTAGCCACCAAAACCAAAACACCATGCACTGGAACCGTGACCTGAGAGGGTTTGGTTTCGATAGACCCCGTCGCCATTTGGAGGTGCCTTGAATGGCGCAGCGTGCGAAATATGGGGTGACCTCCTGACAGGTTTACTGTTTACTTGGGAAAGGTGAGAGGGTTCCGTACTTGCGCTCATGTTCCCTCCATTTTCTAGGCTGGGAAAGGTGACAGGATGCAGAGAAGAGAAGCGGCCTCTTTTCGCATGATTTTTTGTATGGCTTTCGTCGTTTTCACCTTTTTGTTGCACTTGGCCTTGAAACCCGAAGGGAAGCAGAACGGCACCTTTTCCAAGACAGCCACACAAGTCGTGGGTCTTCGGACACTCGGTATGATTACGGTATGACGCATTCGCTTTCAAAGTCGGACACCTTCGCCATTGTTTTTCTGACGCGTTCCAACAGATTTGAGTGGTGCCCTTTTCTGCAAGTGGCCCGGTTTCTGTGTGCGTTGAGACTTGATTTTTTGTCAGAGGTCGAACATGATCTGAATCACAATCAAAACCTGGGGTAATTGGAGGATAAGGGACACTCCCCCTTGCCATAGATGGGTGCGGCCGCGTTTTTTCCAATTCTTTACATGTTTCAGGGATTACGACCATCTCAATAACAAGCTTTAATTGTGCCTCGTTGCAAAAGCTTCCCCGCCTCCTGAGGGATGTCGCATTGTGCCCAGGACCGTCCACGGAGGTCTTCCGGTGGGGCACCATGGGAGTGGGAGAGAGAGGATGTTGAGTGCCCCGAGTGGTTCTTACAGAAGTTGTACCGGGGATTTTTCTATTGGGGACAGCGAGGCAGCAAATGGGTATAAGTCAAAGTTCAACCGCCAGGGGACCGCAGGTTTTGGTCCTTATTTCTACTTACTGTGGTTCGATTTTGGGCACCTATTTTTGAGCCACAGCCAAATGGGCGTGTCTATTTTTGAGAGAATCAAGAAGCCACATGAAAGCCAAGGTCTCTGTCGGGGTCAACACCGTATGCTGAAACCGAGTGACTTTGAGAATGGAAGCTGCCTTTTCACAAAATCTGAACCGAAACCAAAGGGAAGGCTTCGACTTCCACTCAGATTTCAGAGGTCTAGGAGCCATGTTTGACTGGAGTTTTTGCTGCTATAACCCATGTGCCGACTTCGCAGACAAGCCCCAATTAGTATCTCCTGTTTTTTAGGCACCCCCAAACTGGCCGGTTTTCCAACTGGTTTCTCTTTAAACCAACCCCGAAAGGGGTATCCTCAAAAAACGACACCCCCAAATGGGTTGTCGCCTGGACCACGAGACAAGTCAGTGGATCATATAAATAAGTTCTTGACCCTCGGTTGACTTGCTTCTCCGGAATTCCGTGGGTCACTATGGACACTTGCAGCAAGAGCGCCAGCACGGCGTTTTTTTTTTTTTTGCAACGCTCAGGCCGCGCCAAGCGTGTTTCGCCCAAGCCTGCACCCGCCGCGCTGCGCGTGCTTGGTCGGTTGCATGGCTTGCTCCTTGCATCCCTCCACAAATTTATTGGAACATGCTGTTGGCAAAACTAGCTCCCCTATGAAGGTCCCTGTTCCTGCATATTCCTGGAACAAAAGTCGCCCAAGGAAAAGAGGAGCGTATCAAGTCCATGTTGTTTTTCCAACACTGCCGAGCCAGGGCAACAGACCGAGGAAACTAAGATGTTGAGAGCAATCAGCTTTTGTCGAATACACGAGGTGCCGCTGCCGCAAGCGTGAGCCAATTCCACGGTGGACAGGGACGCCTCCCCTTTGACCGGTCTCCCAGCACTTCGATGCAACCTCAAGAGGCATTTTGATCTGGCATCAGAGTCTCTGACCCAACCTCCGCATGTCAGGCGCGCAAAATGCAGCCGCATCGGCAGCACGCGTCGCACGCACGGGAGGCTACGGAGGCGAGGTGCGGCGGTCGTCGAGCTGGTTTCTGACTTCACAATTGGGGGGGTCTCCAAAAGCGCCTGGAAGCATGGATGACGAGTTAGCAAGAGCATGTCCTCACAGCGCAACACAAGAGGATGATCTGATTCTGTGCTTTGAGCAAGTTCTGCAAGCAAGCTTTTCTGAGCAAGTTCTCCACGCAAGTGGCTCTGTGCAAAGTTCTCTGAGCGATTTGTCCATTCAAATTCCTCTGCGAAATTCTCGTAGCAACTTCTGTCAGCAGCAAGTTTCACTGCCCCACAACTGTTTGAGCAAGTTCTGTAAGCAAGTTTGTCTGTGCAAGTTCTCTGAGGAAGTTCTCCACGGAAGTGGCTCTGCGCAAGTTTCTGAACAAGTTCTCTGAGCAAGTTCTCCAAGCAAGTTTCTCTGAAGTTCTCTCAGCAAGTTCTGAGCAAGTTCTCTGCATGCATGGCTGACCCACACGGAAGCCTTTTGCCGCGCGTAGGATTTTCCTTTCAGACCTGCTAAAGTGTACTTCCCCTTCAGCGCCTCCACCACACCGATCCCCGCAGAGGGCTGCGTGAGGAGCCTCGGTTGCGCGATGACTGGAAACAAGTCGCAAAAAGCTTGAGTTGAGCTCGACACGCCGATCATTGCACAAAGTTCAGCGATGACCACAACAAACAGCGTTGACCACGCAGATCCATGCAGAGGGCTGCGCCATGACCGGAGAAAGTGGCAAAGGTCCCCAGCTTTTGCACCTCGACCACGCCAATCCCCGCAGAGAGGGTCGCAATCCCGCGCAGTGCCGACGGGCCTAGATCACCGCCTTAGAAAGCTGAGTGAAATAGAAGGCCAATTCTCTAAGCGAAATCTCTGAGCAAGTTCTCTGAACACCTTTCTCCGAGCAAGTTCTCTGCAAGTTCTTTGGGCAAGCGTTTTTGAGCAAGTTCTTGAACACCTTTCTCTGAGCAAGTTCTCTGCAAGTTCTTTGGGCAAGCGTTTTTGAGCAAGTTCTTGAACACCTTTCTCTGAGCAACTTTGCTGAGCAAGTGGTCCAAGGGCTCCAGACGGAAGAACCCTTCGCGGGGAAGAACACAGAACTCTTGTTTACCCATACCCATAGAGGGAGCAACTTTCGACAGTGGCACACATGCAACCATACATACACATGTTTCTTGAGCCGGTTCCTTGCTTTGGGTACGTAAAATCGAGAGATCTAGTTTGAGCTCGCGTAAAGGACATCTAACATGAAACCAACCGTGAGGGTTGGTGCCCGTCCGTTGCCAAAACTCACTTTAAGAGGAGTCCTTATATGCCCCTGGTTCAAACATCACCTGTTGGATGGCTGAGGGGGGGCATACAAGGACTGCTGTTTAACGCCCTACCGCCTTGCATTTTAGGTGGGCACGCCGGTCTCGGGCGTGGCGGAGGTCGCGTGTGAGGCCGGGTGGTTGCAGTGTGGCCGTGTTGCAGTGGACACGTGCAGGTCAAACCCAAGGTGGGTACAAATTCGCCTACCCAGACGGCCAGCCAGTCTGGGCAGGATGCCAGCGGGCACATGCTCGGCCAGAAAAAGCAATCGAAACCACCAGTTCCCCGAACAGGTTCCTGTATGGCTCTCCTTAAAAAAAGAAAGAACATCCAAAACAAAAAGCAAAAAAACACAACAAACACACAAAAACGGGAGGGGGGGTGGGCCATACGGTTCCCCCGAAGCTTGGCGGACACATTTTCGCCAGGAGCCGCAGGCGCCGGAGGCGGCCGCCCGGAAAGGGGGGAGTGATGTTATATGGGCGCTTGAGTTTGTCTGAGAAAATCATACTGTACCCCAAATAGGTTTCTTTTTTGTTTTGTGTTGTTTTTTTCTTTTATTTTTTTGGGTAGACCCAAGGTGTTGTTTTGGCGGGTTAACCTCTTGAGTTTTACTTGGGCCCATCTTCCGTTGACAGAAGGGATTTGGGGAGTCCTCCAAGCCTCCTGGCTATGCATGGAACCCGCAAAGTGGTTGGTGGACACTCAACAAATGACATCCACCTTTCCAGTCCAAGACCCATTCAAAGTCGCTCTGACCTGCTCACTTTCGGTTGGGAACGGCGACCCTGGAGGCGATTTGAAGGTTGAGGGGTTCCGACCGGTCCAGTTCAGCATCCAGAGATTCAGAGGCCAACCATCTACCCAAGCTGGCTTGGGCAAAAAACCCCTGGGCCAAACTCACACAAAATCATCACTGGGGTTCATTTCCTGGTCGGGGGCCGGGGGGGTGGTTGGGGGAGGGGCTGGGTGGAAATCCCAAGAACCTCGGAACTGCCCCGGGCTTCGCCTTAGAAAAGGTGTCCCCGAGTGGCACGGCGAAGCCCAGAGTGCCGGGCCCAGCGCTGAGGAAAATCCGAAAACTCCGGGCGTCCGGGGTGTGGGTTTGGAGTCCATGGGGCACGGGGCAACCGCCGAAAGCGCGAATGCGCTACGTCAAAAGGCTTCACGGACCAGGAAGTTGGGTCAGACAGCTCTGGAAGTGTTGGATTTTGAGACCTGAGGGGTTCCATCAAAGACTGCTGGATTTTGAGTCCTTGTTTTTGGTGGTTGCAAAGGGGTTCCTTTTTTTCGGCACGAGAAGCGGAACCAGCGAGCACGAGGCCAGACAGCGCGTAGCGAGCGCCAGCTGATTGCGGCCCGCGCCCGAGCTACTGGCTTTTGGTCGTGACGCAGGTGTTAGGGAAGTACAAGGGGCGGGCAGTTGAGAGCCCTAGGATTTGGGGTTTCCTTGGGGTTAGGGTTCCTTAGGGTTCCTGCTCTGTCTCCCTTTTAGGGACCCCTTTAGGCGGAGAATTTGTCATGGCCTTTTGTTGGTATGGACAATTCCCGCAACCATCCTTTTGCAAGACCATCCATGATATCCAATCTTCAAAGGAGAAATTCAGCCACCTTATTCGTCTGAGTTCTACTTCCGTTCTGGGCCCCTTTGATTCATGTTTTTTCCTTCAAGCTTTCAGCTCCCATGAGCTGTGAGGTCTACACAGGCAAAGTGCTGCCGGATTTTGGCCTTCCGAGCCGCGCCCGACCCAGCGACGGGGATAGCGGTATTGGGGTTCTTGCTTCCTAAGAGGTGGGGCTTCTTTTGCGAGGCCAGGCCAGGTGGGTGCCGCAGGTGTTGGTGAGGGTGCTGGTCAGCCTGCTGTTTTGGGTGCTGTTTGCGTGCTTCAGGCGCCCGATCATTCCTAGATTGGCAGATGTGCAGCTTCCTCGGTGTGGCTTTCTAGTGATGCCCCAAGGGAAAGGATTGATCCTGAAGTTTGCTTTGCATGTGTAGCTCCTCGCAGCTCTCATCCAGATGTTGGCGAGCGGGGGGGAATTCCCAGCCGCAAATGTGAAGGGGCAGGCTGCCAATGTGTACCCCACGGGTCTGGTAAATTGGCATCTTTGCTTGTCCATGGGAAGTGTACACAAGGGGCGCCGAATGTGTTGAGGGCCCCAGTGTTACGCCTGCAGGCTTTGCCGAGCCAGTTCCATACAACGCGTGTTGTCTTGAGACTCTTGCTTTCTTTGCAGTCAGGAATCAGGAATCCTGGATTGGTTCCTTCGGTCCGCATTTTTTGCGCCGGTTCCGCTGCCAGCCACTTCCTCGAAATTTTCCCCATGGCTTCTCCCCATGGCTCGCTCCTCTTGAGCCGGTTCCGCCCGCGTCCGAGGCCCCAAGGCCCGGCCCAAGTGGCAGTGAGCCGCGAGGAGCTCCGATGGCTCGGGTTGCGACCGAGGGCGGGGCCCGGAGGGGGGGGGGGAAAAAATGTAGAAAAGGCTGATTCTAGGGGGCGGGGGGTAGATGGTTGCCTGTTCTGTTTTTTATTCCACAATTCAACACGTGTACCACCTTATCCGTTTTTAAAAGGCTGATTTTGGGGGCATGAAATAACGATATGGATGTGGTAACGAATTGATGATTTGGTCCCCTGTCTCGTTCCAGATTTCAACTTTTAGTTTTATTGATTGAAAGAGGATAGGACTTTCTGTGGTTTCATGGGTTGGCTTTTGGGTGGTTGTTGTGGTTTGTCATTTAATGAAATGTTTATAGATTAAAAGTTCACTATAATTATAACATATAAGAGTATAAATGATATAATTATGGTTTAGTTATGAATTACACAGGTTCATCAACAATTAGTTTAAACCTTATGTTTTGTACTCCTCCAAAATTCATTCTACTTCTTTCATCATCAATACATCTGTATATGTTAGATGGAAATTAATGGGGTGGGCGGCAAATGGGGTGAGGTTCGAGGACGAAAACGACAAGAAAACACCGCAAACACCCGTGTTTCCCCGGAAAAGCACTTTCTTTCCTTCCGGCGCTGAAGGTAATTTTTTTCAGGGCTTGCTGGCTAGCTTGCTTGCTTGTGTTTGGTTGCTGTGCTGCGCACAAAGCGGTCAAGCCATTTATTGCTGCATTCCTGAGGGCACGTTTAGTGTAGAAAGGCAACACGGTTCTGTGTCGTGGCGTTGATTAGGTGTTTCAGGCTGTTCTACTATAGTAGCAATAGTAGTAGTAGTAGTAGTAGTAGTAGTAGTAGTAGTAGTAGTAGTAGTAGTAGTAGTAGTAGTAGTAGTAGTAGTAGTAGTAGTAGTAGTAGTAGTCGTAATGGTAGTCGTAGTAGTTGTTGTGCTTGTAGTCGTAGTAGTAATAGTAGTAGTAGTAGTAGTAGTAGAAGTAGTCCTAGTAGGAGTCGTAGAAGTAGTGGTAGTAGTATTAGGGAGTGGCAGGAGTAGGAGTAGCAGGAGTAGCAGTAGCAGTAGAAGTAGCAGTAGCAGTAGCAGTAGCAGTAGCAGTAGCAGCAGTAGTAGTAGTAGTAGTAGTAGTAGTAGTAGTAGTAGTCGTAAAAGTAGGAGCAGGAGTAGGAGTAGCAATCGTAGTAGTAGTAGTTGTTGTTGTTGTTGCTGTTGTAGGAGTAGTAGTAGTAGTGGTAGTAGTAGTAGTAGTAGTAGTAGTAGTAGTAGTAGTAGCATTAGTAGTAGTAGTAGTAGTAGTAGTAGTAGTAGTAGTAGTAGTAGTAGTAGTAGTAGTAGTAGTAGCAGGAGCTGTAGTAGAAGTAGTAGTAGAAGTAGAAGTAGAAGTAGAAGTAGCAGTAGTAGTAGTTGTAGTAGAAGTAGCAGTGGTAGTAGGAGTAGTAGTACGAAGGGGTATGATTCGGGGTCTGGTTCGGGGGTGTGGTTCGGGGTATGGTTCGGGGGTCGCACTTCCACCCTTTACAAAAGGCTCCCACGATTTGGGACCATGGGTGTTTGGGGCCAGAGTCATAGGTGTTTGGGCCAGCTGTTTGGGACCATGGCTGTTTGGGACCATGAATATTTGGGACAAGCGCTGCTTGGGACCATGGGTGTTTGGGGCCACCCACCGTTTGACAATGCGTGCCTATTTGGGTGGGTGTTTGGGACCAGCTGTTTGGGACCATGGGTGTTTGGGACCATGGGTGTTTGGGACCCACAGTTTGGGGCCATGGGCATTTGGGAGGAGCATGGTTTGGGGTTTGGGACCATTCGACAATGGAACACTGTTTGGGACCACCGTTCAAGACCATTGGACCCACCGTTTGGGGGACATGGGCGTCATGCGGGTGTTTGGGCTTGGGACCCACTGTTTGGGGGCATAGGCGTTTGGGTGTTTGACCATAGCTCCAGTTTGAGACCACCGTGTGGGACCATGGCCATCGTTTGGGACCATGAATGTTTGGGACAACCACGCGTGACACTGTTTGGGTTGGACCGACCGTTTGGGCCCAGCTGTTTGGCACCGTTTGGAGCTGTGGGCCATGGGTGGCGTTTGGGACCGTTTGGGACCATGGGTGTTTGGGACCGACCATGTGCAACTGTTTGGGACCATGTTTTGGGGGGTTCTGGGGGGTTTTGGGGGGGTTGTGGGAGGTCTTGGGGGGTTCTGGGAGTTCTGATAAGTTTTGCGGGCCTCGCCGAGGCCCTGTTAATCCCTGTTGCCTCTGTTTTGGGACCGACCAATGAAACCACTGTTGCTTGGGACCATGAATGTTCGGGACCACTGTTTCGGACCATGGGTGCTTGGGACCCACCATCATGACCAGCTGCGTGGGACCAGCCTGTTTGGGACCACCGTTTGGGACCATCGTTTGGGACCATGTTTGGGGACCATGACCCACCGCTTCGTTTGGGACCAGCGTTTGGGACCATGGGTGTTTGGGACCCGCAATTTAGGATCATGCTTGTTTGGGACCATGGGCCGCAAACACCCATAATCCAAAACGATGGTGCCAAACCATGGTCCCAAACACGCATGGTCCTAAATTGTGGGTCCCAAACATTCATGGTCCCAAACGATGGTCTCCCAAACGGTATGGTCCCAAACAGCGTGGCGTTTGGGACTGGGTGTTTGGGACCACTGTTTGGGACCAGGGTGCTTGGGGCCCACCACCATACGTGTTTGGGACAAGCTGCGTGGGACCAGCTGTTTGGGATCATGGGTGTTTGGGACTGACCATTGTGTGGACCATGGGACCAGCTGTTGTTTGGGAGCATGGGTGTCCGGGACCATGTTTTGGACCATACCGTTTGGGACCATCGTGTGGGACCATGTTTGGGACCATCGTTTGGGACCATGCGTTTTTGGGACACAACGTTTAAGTTTGGGATGATGGGAAGTTTGGGACCCACAATTTGGGACCATGTGTGTTTGGGACCATGGTTTGGGACCATGGGTGTTCGGGACCAGCTGTTTGGGACCATACCGTTTGGGACCGTGCATGTTTGGGACCACCTTTGGGACGATAGGTGTTTGTTTCGTTTGGGACCACCGTTTGGGACCATGCGTGTTTGGGACCCCACAATTTGGGACTATGCGTGTTTGGGACCATAAAAGGGGAGGGGGGACGATGGGTGTTTGGGGCCCACCGTTTGGGGCCGGGCGTTTGGGCCATGTGTCCGGGACCACTGTTTGGGACCATGGGTGCTTGGGACGCACCACCATACGTGTTTGGGACCAGCTGTGTGGGACCAGCTGTTTGGGGATTAGTTGGGACGCGCTGTCTGGGTTGTGCTGGTGGGTTCTGGGGGGTTCTGGGGGTTTTGGGGGGTTGTGGGAGGTTTTGGGGGTTCTGGGGTGTTTTGGTGGGTGTTGGTGGCTTGTGAGGAGTTTTGGGGGCCTCGCCTAGTTAATCCCTGCCGCCTCGCCCCGTTAATTCGGAAACCCCTGTGCCCCAAATTAGGGGCTGGTTTGGGACCAAGGGTTGGTGTTTGGGGTGAGCTGTTTGGGACCCACCATGAAACCAGCTGTTGTTTGGGACCATGGGTCCGGGACCACTGTGTGGGACCATGGGTGCTTGGGACCCACCACCATGACCAGCTGCGTGGGACCAACCTGTTTGAGAATGGGGTGTTTGGGGGACCATCGTTTGGGACCATCGTTTGGGACAATCATTTGGGACCATCATTTGGGACCATGGGTGTTTTGGACCCACCCGTTTCGTTTGGAGGAGCGTTTGGGATTGATGGTGTTTGGGACCCACAATTTGGGATCATGCGTGTTTGGGAGACCATTGTTTGGGACCTGGGTGTTTGGGGCCCACCGTTTGGGGCCGGGCGTTTGTGGGTGTCTGGGACCAGCTCTTTGGGAGTGTTTGGGACTGCGTGTTTGGGACCATGGTTTTGGGACCATCGTTTGGGATTATGGCCGGGCGTTTGGGACCATGGGTGTGTGGGACCAGAAGAACCAACAACCCCCCTAGCTCAAAACTACTTAAAGAAGAATTGTATTTATATATTAAGAGGAAAAATGAGTGAGTGTAAAATGTCTGAGAAAAAATATGAGTAAGAATTGGGCTAGCTTACCTGTTGATATATTGAAAAAATATAATTTCATAATTAGGGGAACCTGAGTATTTGAAAATAAAACATAATCATATTAAGACATTAAAGAGAATACAACAACGATATAAATTTAAAAGAACTGAAACAAAAAGAAAGACAAAGCGCTATACTGTTGAAGATGGCGATGATTTCAAGAGACAGACAATTAAGTATTACATTTCAAGAAATATACCTTTAAGCATTGAAAGCCTCGAAGATATAGTTTTTAATGAAAATAACAACTTAGATTGTTTGTTAGATGACATTGAAACCGATAACGGTTATGAAGCAGTGATAATAGTTGAGGTAAATATGTTTGTAAGGTTTCATCATTTCAATTATGAAGACAACCATTTTAACACTTTTAGTTTTTATTTTCGTAGTGATGATTTTGTAGATAATATAACCATAGATAATATATCCGAAGTAATGATAGAGGCACATCAAACAATATACAGATGTATTGATGATGAAAGAAGTAGAATGAATTTTGGAGGAGTACAAAACATAAGGTTTAAACTAATTGTTGATGAACCTGTGTAATTCATAACTAAACCATAATTATATCATTTATACTCTTATATGTTATAATTATAGTGAACTTTTAATCTATAAACATTTCATTAAATGACAAACCACAACAACCGCCCAAAAGCCAACCCATGAAACCACAGAAAGTCCTATCCTCTTTCAATCAATAAAACTAAAAGTTGAAATCTGGAACGAGACAGGGGACCAAATCATCAATTCGTTACCACATCCATATCGTTATTTCATGCCCCCAAAATCAGCCTTTTAAAAACGGATAAGGTGGTACACGTGTTGAATTGTGGAATAAAAAACAGAACAGGCAACCATCTACCCCCCGCCCCCTAGAATCAGCCTTTTCTACATTTTTTGGGGGAAGGGGGGGAAGGGGGGGAAGGGGGGGACTCGAGTCTCGTGGTCTCGTGTCTCCAGGTTGCATCCCACAGTGAGCTGTGTGAAATGCTGGGTCCGTGGAGTTCGTCTTTGTCTTGTTCTTCCTTCTTTGCCGGACCGTTGCTTTCAACAATGAATCCAACTCGCTGGCCGAAACAGCTGTCACATCCTAGCAAAGGCCCTGTCAGGCTGGAATCCTCGCGAGCATAAGCAATGGAGCGATGGATCCGAAGCAACATGTGATGCTCTTGTCGAAAGAGGTCTGCATAAGCCAAGCTGAAGCTAAGGTCTTTCCCGGTCTCCTTTGGCTTACGTTCGCCCACCGCACTTGGCTTCCGCCTTGCGCCAGATGACGGGCGCATTTTGGCGTATCTTGGGTGGTACGCCTTCGTAGAGGGAAGCATTCGATGATGGTGTTCGTTGTGACGAGCCGAAAAGCGGGGCATGGGGGCATATGCTGGACCATGCGTGCAAGAATCAGCAGCCATATGTAGTTCTGTCCATTGGCTAAGTACACCTGGCCCAAAGCAAACAAATCCCCTCAGGGGCGTGCCCTCTTCACGCCAGTCAATTTCCAGTGTGGGAACAATCCGAGTCGGACCAACATAAATTCAAGATTCGAAACTCGCGACATCTCTTGCCAGGCGTCTCTAAGACCGGCAGTTGTGTGTGCGTGTCACCATGCCGCTATGTGCTTGAGAACAGTTCACCTCTCTCTCTCTTCCAGATGCGCAGATGAACAACTCCGGTCCTGAGCAGGAAAAAAAGCGGCGGGGCGATGAAAAGAGCTGCTCTGCAAGGGGTCCCTCTTCTTTTCAAGCTTTCCTTCCTTTGAGCTCCTGCCTGTGCAGGGGAACTCCCCGGCCCGGCCGGAGCAATGCGGCAAATCATAAGGGCGTTTAAGTTCAAAGGTTGGACGGAACGACAGCTTGTTGCAGCTTTCACTCAATGCCGGTTCAATGGATCAATCCCCCTTGTGCCAATAGCCCAGTATATCAGCGCAGACTTGTAGATAGAGGAGCGAGTCCTTTGCATAGTTTCGAAGTTGCGCCCTCGCAAGTTAGGAAAGGTGCTGGCAGGGTTTAGGCTTGCCCTCGTTGAACTGGCCATCAACCCCCGGCAAAACATTGGATGCGTTGACTCGATCCATACATCCATTCCTTCCATGGACGCTCCTGCAGGAAACTCCGAGATCTGCTCGGCAGAGCGCCTTCACTCAGTAGAGACGCACTGGGCAGCCGAAAATAGGGCCGGGCCAAAGAGCCAAAGGGGCCTGGCTGACCAGTGGCCGTTTTTCCGCTCTCCAGATGTGTCACCCTTGCAGCCTGAAATCTAGGCGCGAAATCAAGGCGCAAAGGCCGGAGCTAAGTAGAAGGAGTTTGGCTCAGGCCAAGTTCTCTGGTTGCAAACTTTGCGAAGCGTTTTTTTGAGCGCATGTCACATGGCTGATTGGACTGCTTGATATGCTACTGGGCATTGCCAGTTTTGTTTCTTCTTTTGCGTTTCCGATGCCACTTCGACGGCTCAAAGAGCAAAGCGAGCTCTTGCCGGAGGAAGAACTGGGAAGATGACAAACAAAGTGGATCACAAGGAGGATCACATGGAGCACAACTCCCAGGCGTGGATGGCACATGTTAAGCATCTCGAGCTTCAACGGCCAGCGTTAGATTGTCGTCGGCTGGGTGGGCCTTGGTGTTTGTTGCTTAGCATGTCAACCGGCGCGGGAAATAAGCCTTCAGAGCACCACCCCGTTTTGATACCTGTTTTTTGTTGGGGGGGGTATTCATGTTGGACATCCCCTCTCTTCCACGGAAAGGACAAGAACTAAACCCAATCAAGTACTAGGTCCGACCCCAGACTTGGTTCAGCGAGAAATCCGGTCGATTTGGGCAGGACTCTCACGGCAGCCTCCAAGCAGTGCCTGTTCGTTTGAGATCGCTTACGTAGCTACCAACGCTCACCCCCGTCTAGCCCGCACGGCGAAGCGTCGCGTGGGGTGCAATTATGGGCACCTGATGGGGAGTTTCCTTGCGCGAAATTTTGCTTCGCATCGCGTTTCCGCCAGCCAAAGCCAATGCGCCTCGGCCAAGCCGGTTGGAGGCTTGCTTCGGGCTACCTCCTCAGAACTCTCAATCATGTTCGAGCCACATATGGGCACGTCTTGTTGGGAGGACCCCCAATAGGAGCACCGCCATTTTATAGGAACACCGCCATTTTGGGCAGTCACCCCCCAAAAAACAGGCACACCCCTATGGCGTGGGCCCAGGTGCATTTCCCGCTTTGGAAAACAAGCTCGTGCGCAGGCTTGGCTGGGATTCCTGCGGCTCAGCGTCGGCCTCACACTGCTCTTTACCGCCTTCCAGGCGAAGCGATCGAGAACTCGGAACAGCTTTTTGGGACGTTTGAGATGTTGATTCATCGATTCGTTTTGCTGGAAGTTCGAGTTTTTGTTTCTTCTTTTATTTTTTAAACAACAACAACCCAAAGTAAGGCTTTTATACAAAGACCCCAATGTGTTGCTGCAAGTTGGGGGTGAAGTTACGGTCCATTTTTTGCGGGAAGCCGCCAAAGTGACCAAGCTTTGGAGGATCAAGCCCCAGGCTTTCGACAGGTTTTGGGCTGAGGTGATCTGTTCAACTCTTCCACCCTGAGTGGTCCAAAAACCGGACACTTGTCAAGGCCCAAGCCCTCCAAGCCCTTCAAGCCCTCCCCAGCACGAGGGGCCACTGGAGTTCTCACTGTTCAAAATCTGGGCCAAAAGAAGCGCCAACCTGAAAACGGGTACCATAGGTATCCTTGTTGGTTGGTTTGGTTGAAAAACAGATTGCCCTGGTTTACCAATAGTGGTTCAATCATCTACCAGGGCCATCCATTTAAGAAAAGAGGACACCTATGACGGGTACCCTCCACCGGAGTTCTCACTTTTCAAAATCTGGGCCAAAATCTGGGCCACAAAAAAGAGAGCGCCAACTTAAAGAACGGGGTACCCTCACAAAAGAAACACACGGGGCTTGCGTTCAGGAGGTGCAGAACGCCGGCCCCGCGTTGCTGGAACGTCTCGAGCTGCAGCACCTGGGGTTCTACGCCTTGGCGCTCTTCTACGGCTGCATGTTCCTGGGGGCTCAGGCGATGCGCTTTCGGAACCTCCGCAAACTCCGGGGATGGGTCAAAACTAAACCACCAGGACCACAGTACATGATTTGGACCTACAGCCAGGTCAATGTTTGTTCGACTTGGGAAATTTATCAGGTGTGCTGCCCTGGTGTTGGTTTGGCCTTTGGTTGGGACACCTCCCGTTTTAAAGCGGGGAGAAAGGCTTGTCCACAAACCGTGGCTTGCAATCTCAGGACATAAGGCAAGCCCACGTGGTGGAAAGGCGATGTGCTCAGAAAATTCACACCGGAAAGCCCGAGTTCCGTTGAAGCGAAGCCGACAGAGCAGCCGCGAGTGTGTGCCTTTGAGTTTCATGCCAGCTTCCGCTCGACAGCGGGCCATGGAACTGAGGATACTCTGGCTGTTAGTTTTCATAGTATATGCACTAGTCTTGTGAACCATTTTGGCTTGAACATGTAGCAGGGCATGGAGCTTACTTTCTCTTGGCAAAGCAGGAAGGGCCATTTTGGATGGGATGTCACACAAAGGGCTTCGATTTCATGCTGTGAGAGGCGTCGTTTCTGGTGATTCCAATGGATTTTCCGGTCACGCTTTCTCAGTCCTCACAAACCCTAAGGCTGCAAAAGCTCTCCTGTACCTGCCTCACACCCTCAAAAGGGTTTCATGAATTGGCATGTTTTCGAGGGCAACAAGCCGCATCTTCCATTTTGAGGCGTCAAACTCCCACGAGCCCTGGCCGCGTGGGTCGTTCAGGCTGCCCCCTGGGTGATCCACCGCATGGGGCAGTGGGCATTGACGTTGGGCGCGGCGGGGAACGGCCTCTTCACCAGCGCGGTGGTGCTGTGCTGCCACTTCTACCGCCCCGCGGCTGGTTCGGGGGGTGTGTGGGGTTCTGCGGAGTGGGTTTCGGGGATGGTTCGATCAAAGAGGGAATGGTGGACACATACATAGAGCCTCTTTTTGAGCATGTGGACTGGCACGCGATTTTGGTGTACGAGGTAGTGCAGAGTGTGACATTGAACAGGTATCAACGTCTTCTTTTGATGATGGAGGGGACCTTACCATTGGCTGAACCCCACATCATTTCGGAACGTTTCATCACACGAGTTTTTGGTTTGATGCCTGTAGTGCGCGTGGCCTGAGGTGAATGAGGCAGTGCATGCTCCATTTCTTGGTGGGCTAGTGACAGATGCAAGCTCGCCGATGCGGGCGTATAACGAGCGAAAGCCATGATAAAGGTCCTTGCTGGAATCCAATTCTCTAATCAGCTTGTGGATTTATGGCAAAATCTGCCGATGCCGTCCGAGCGCATGGTTTGGACATTGGCAGTCTCGCGGTGGCGAGTTTGGCAGAAACGCACCGAGGCTTTCGTGTGGCCCCGCCCCAAAAAACCAGTTGCTCTTCATTTTGCCGTTGTATTCGGCGATTTCAATGATCATGCATTGCAGTTTAATGAGTGGTGCAATGTTTGGACATATCATGAAGGCTCATTTTCAACGCTGGGGTAAGGGGGAGCATTTGCCCCGCTGTTGTTGAGTAGCGGCCACTCAGAATGGCCATTGAACAGAATGAAGACCAAAAGGCCATGATTCCATTGCCCCCTCCAAAGAACCCTCAACAAGCAAGACAGGAGAGGCTGCATTTGGCCGCCCTAACCCAATGGCTCGCTCAGGGGAGGGCGTGGGCTCCGCCGCCGCATATATCACGCTCCTCTTGGTGGCGCTGGCGGGCGGTCTCATAGCAGGACTGCTGTGGCCGGCGCAGGGCTACCTCTTGACACACTACGCGTCCCCCGAGAGCCTGAACTGGTACGTGTGCCTCGGGTAAACGAGTGGCTTTTCTTTTTGGGGGGGGCGGGTCATGATTTGGGATATCAGTCGCTTGCTGAAAAGGGCATGCTGGGCAACAACAGCGGTTGCATGCTGGCTGCTGAATGCTTTTCGGTTTTTTGCTTTAAACGCTTCCAGGTTGTTTGTTTTTGCAATTCTCCAAGATTATGCTAAGTTTGTGGGAGAGGAAAGTCTGTTGCACACAAAAAATAAGCTCAGGTGATATCCCCAACAGCATGCGGTGCTCTTTTTAGTGCTCGCACCACCCCGCAGCCCTCGCAGAACCTCGTGGAACCCTCGTGGAACCCTGGTGAAATCCTGGTGGAGCCCTCGTGGAACCTTACCTCAGGGCCGCCCCGGACCACCCCGGAGCCTATCTGGGCTGAGACCCCAAAGCTTGCAGCTGTTGGGGAAAAAATGACCCAAAGGGAAGGGTTTGTTGGATGAGACCCTGAAGCCCAATAGCAGCCTTTTTGCCGTCCACTTGGATGACCAGCGCGGAGGTCTTGAGCTCCCTTTGGCGTCATCTCCAAACCGTCCGAAAGCTCCGCTTTTCTTGGAGCCAACCCCACCAAACAAAAAGACACCCGATTTGCACTTAGACCTTGGTCTATGGTCATCTGGTCTTCTTTGCCTATGGTCATTCTTCCCAAGCTTCCCCTCCTCTGTTTCTTTTCCCCATGTCCTCAGGAAATGGCCCAAGTATGGCCAAATGGCGCAGGAATTTTCACATTCTTCCATGGCCATGGTCTCCCGCAGGTTTTGGCCCCAGGTCCTGGGGCTCAGTATTGAATCTTATGAACCATCCAACTGGTGGTTTCCTTTCAGGGAATCCCAACCGGTTCACGGGAGGTTTTTCCTCCGCATGCCGGCTCCCTTGAAAGCTCCAACCAAGCCTGGCCAAGCCCAGGCCGAGCTGGTTTCGAGGCTTCGATCTCTGAATGTCTGAGCAACTGGATACCTGTCGCGGCGTTCGTTTTTCAAAGGATTCCTCAGGTCCTCCTTCTCCCTGTGCTTCTTCGCCAGCGGCTTCCTGGGCCCAGCGCTGGTGGCGCCTCTGCATGGCGTTTGGGTGCCCGTGGCGCTGCTGACGCTGGTGCTGCTAGGACGGGTTTCTCAAAACCGGCTGTGGTGGTCAAGACCGTCAAAGGGGATCCCATTTTGGTAGGTGAATTCACCAACCATTTTAGAACCTATTTTAGTGGTTGGATTGGGATGTTCACTGGTACCTCATTTTGACCCACCAAATAGGAAATGGCCCCCAAAGATGGCCCGGCCAAAAATGGTGAAAAACACAGTACATGTGGGTTACACCACGCTGAAGCTAAAAGACCCTGATTCTTGTGGCGCTGATTTTGGACCCCTGCAGTAAACAAATCGTCCATGGCCCGCAAACAATAGTAAATGGAACACAGTTTCCTTGGGGTTATATACATATATATATATATATATAATATTTCGGCGAGTTTTGCGAGTCGGCTTCTCTCAGATATGCCAACCCTGGAGTTCAGGTGTCCGGAAACAGTCGCGAGGGCTGAAAAAGGTGCCCGCAGTGGTTGGAGAAGATCGAGGGAGACGGATTTTGCGGGTTCTTGGGCCTTGGGAATGCCCTTCTCGGAAGGAAAACCAAAGGGCAACATGTTTCAGCCACAAGAAAGTTCACTTGTGAACATTCAGGTGTTGGTTTGGATTGGATTTGAACCCCTGGTTCTTGCTGGGCTCCAAACCACCAAACCACCAAGAGGAAAGCTGAACAAAGATGTCCGACTTTACGAGTTTGAGTTCCCGTTGCACGAGGCGTTTTTAATCGCAGGGTTTGAGGGCTTGGTCCCCCGATAAGCCTGAAAGACAGGCGCCCACTTCCAACCAAAGTTCAAGGACTGCTTTTCGATCCTTCCTTTGTCATCCATTTTAGAACTCGAAGTCAGGCCTGGCGACCCTCCTCTGCCTGCCGCCTCCGCGCGCCGAAGCCACCGCCGCCGCCGCCTCCGCCGGCGCGGGACTTTCCGCGGCGGGGCTGCTGAGAGACGCGGGCGCGCGGCGGCTGGCGCTGCTGGGTCTGGCGGAAGGCCACACGACGGACATTTTGTGTCTTTGGTGCAGTTTGTGGCTTCCTTTAAGGGAATCCCTGGGTTCATTCCCAGATTCCCTACTGAGCACCAGCAAGCGATTTGCTTTACTTGGTGCTGTTTGCCAAGGGATGTTGGGACTCTAACTTTTTGCCAACGAATGGGTTTTCCGTATTAAACCACTCAAAGTTAAACTTTTAGCAGGGGAGCAGAAAGCAACCGAGGTTTAGTGTTCAGACCCCTGAAAAACTGCTTTCCTCTTGGAAAGGGGCCAAATGGGCACAAACCCATGTTGGTTGCTGGTATGGTAATAGGGGGACCCTTAGGTGGACATGAAAATTCGAAATTCGGTGGGGGTTGTGCACCAGTTTGACTCTGAAATTGGTTCCCTCTTGAAATTTTGATGGCCAGGGTTTTTCTTTCTTTTGTTTCGGTTGGATCATCCCCGAAAAGGATTTCGGTTCCCTTTACAAACAAAGTGAAGAGGGTATCCTCGAAAAACAGGACACGCCCAAATGGTCGCCTGGGTTGGGGGGCAAATGCGCTTTGGTCCCAGAGGTAAACAAACCAGCAGGATCATGTTTCTTGAAGCGCCTACCCGCACTTGCACCAAACTTGTGTTTCTTTGTGTGTTGTGGCGTTGTGGTGCGTTGCGTTGCGCCGCATTGTGTTGTTCTGTTGGTTTGGGTTGATTTGGTGTGGTTTGTGGTGTTCCGTCTGCAGTGTGTCTGTCTGTCTGCCTGCCTGCCTGCCTGCCTGTCTGTCTGTCTGTCTGTCTGTCTGTCTGTCTGTCTGTCTGTCTGTCTGTCTGTTTGTTTGTTTGTTTGTTTGTTTGTTAGGTTCTTTGGTTGCTTGTCTTTTCGTCGGTTTGTCTGTTTGTCTGTTTGTTTGTTTGTTTGTTTGCTTGCTGGCTGGCTGGCTTGCTTGCTTGTTTGTTTGTTTGTTTGTTTGCTTGCTTGTTTGTTTGTTTGTTTGTTTGTTTGTTCGTTCAGAACCAACCGTGTTCTTCTTTCGCAGGCTATGAGCGGGCATGACAGGTGTGCTCTTAGATTGGCATTGGAATTGGGAGGTGTTTTCCCATGGGTCTTTTTTTGGGGGAAGCCGAAGGCTTGGTCGATTTTTGTTTTTTCCACCACAGTTCAGAAGAAAAAGGGGGTCCCGTTGCGATGGATAGGCTGGTGCCTCAACGCCTTTGTGTCCGACGTGCTGCCGAAGGTCGCAGGCGCCTGGACGACCTCCGATGCTTCGCGCTGGCAGGAACCGCGCCAGCGTCGGAAGTGCCATGGTGGGTCTTTACCCGTTCTCCCGGGTGAATAAACATGTGCATGGGACGTATCGTGTTCGTTTGGTTTTGGTTTGGATTCCTTGGACAGGGCACGGGGATCCCGCTCGTCCAAGCTGGAAATGCTCCCAGAGTAGGAGATCGCCTTGTGGCAGGCTCGCAGATTGACTAGAGGTACTCTCTGCAGCTTCTCCTGGGAACGTGAAAGCTGCAGAATTGCTTTCTGAGTGATGTCTCTCTCTCGCTCTCTCTCTCTCTCTCACTCTCAGTTGGCGCCATGCTTTGAGCTGACAACGTTATGCAGACTCGCACCTTTGGGTCCTTTCGCCGAAAAGGGCGTCTCAAGCGAGCCATACTCTTACTCAGAAGCTCGGATGAAGGGTAGGGACTGTCCCAGCCAGAACTTGGCGTGGAAAGCTTTCGCCAGTTTGCAATCCCATGAACAAGTGGCAGATTTGATGGTGACCATGGTGACTCCAAGCGTCGTCCGTCATAGCTTTGAGTACTCACTCGGACGGCTCGGCATGGCACGGCGGAAGGTCCATGACTTCGAGTGGGCGCAGCAACACCGGGGAACTTTGCCTTCTGCCAGCTTTTGGTCAGCTGACATGGGGGAAAGCTTGCATTTTGCAGTTCAAGGGTTTTGGGAGCATATGGTGTGTTTTGTGGGTCCCCTTTGGAAGCCCAAAGGAAGCCCACCATTTCTTGTTGGGTCCCTACTTTGAGACATCTTTGGGAAAGGCTCCCTGTGGGTCATCAGCTACCCGGCCCCAGCTAGGGAAGCAAGAAGACTAAAGCTGATTTGTTGGGAGCTGGAATGACCCCGAGAACAAACATCCATCCGATTTGGTTTCCTGTATTCGGGAATCCCCGAAACCGGTTCATTCGTAAAACCGGATTGTCATTTCCTGAGCACCAGCAAGATTCTCATTGACACTTCTTACCATGGTTACTACCACTAACTACCCTGCCTCTGAGTGCACATGAGGCCGTCCATGACAAGCAAGCTTAGGGTCGCCGGAGCCTCAGTGACACATCCCTACTGAACCGTTTTGAGATTCCCTTGAAGGACACCACCAGTTGGATGGTTTATAAGGGTCATTTCAATTCTCATTCCTTACTGAGCACCAGAGAGAGTATGGCCATGGAACAAAAACAGAGGATGGGAAACTTGGGAAGAATGTTCATAGGCAAAGAAGACCAGATGACCATAGACCAAGGGAAAACTTGCTGGCACGACAGGAGCATCTGCAGCTGGTGCTGCTCATGAATGGCCTGGGCCACGTGATCGCCAGCCTCGCCTACGCCCCCGTGGCCAACCGATTTGGCAGGCGAGGGTTTGAGGGTCAAGTTGGCTGTCATTAAACAGCGGGGCAACTGCTTCAGAGCCCTTGGCTTTTTTGTTTTCATTCTTATTTGGGGGCTGCAAAAGCAAGTTGTTTTTGCTACATACCAAGGGTTGGACAGATTGTATGTTGTTTTTGTTTCTTTATTTTTTGTTGGGGGGGGGGGAGTGATTACATTTCCCAGCTTGGTGTAACACCTTTACTGAAACCTCCGGACTTTGACAGTATTTGGGGTTGGGATCACTGAAGACACTTGTGCCGAGCTTTGCCTGCAAGAGGGGGCAACATCTTCCGCAAAGGATCAACCGCGACCTGACAAAAAGAGCAAAGCGGCGCCCGCCACCTCAAACCGAGGCGCGCAGTCTTGCTGCTGCAGTCGCTGGTACTCGCTGTGGCAACCCTCTCGTGCGATGTGGAGCTGGGTTGGCAACAGGGGGGCACAGAAATGTGGGGAACTGTACCCAAGGACCCAAGCGGCAGCCAAATGTTTGGCAGCCATAGAATCCAAGCTCTTTTGCCGAGTTTCGGAATCCTCGCCTTGACAACATTGGGGCGCAGAAGCTTGCCGATGATTTAGCGTCTTACGAGTCTTGTGGTTACCTGCCATCAAGAGTGCCCCAGGAGCAGCTTCAGCTGCGCCCCAAAGTTTGGACGTCTTTGTGGAGTTTACGAATCCCATCAACTATTTCCGGGGTATTGCAGGAACTGTGAACACATCGCAGACTTCACCGGACCGATGCTACATGGGGCCCCGCCTCGCTTGGACTCAACTCATCTTTCTCAGCTGAGCGGCCTTATTAAACTTAGCGCACTGGGTCGTCGTTTCCTTAAAGCGGTCTCATTGAGGAACTGAGACGCAACAGTCTTCCTGCACGAATCCAGAAGATAACACCCGCATCCTCGCACGTCTTGACTTCGGCCAGCACACTTCACCCGTTTGTGTCAGTTCAGGGTCCCAGCCGTTGTTTTCGTTTTGCAGGGAAGCCCAGCATCTCAGGCGTCCCTTGAGCCGCGGTTCGGTGTGCTGGCGCCAGGACCTCGCAGGCATGGGAGCGCAAGAGCCCACGGCGCTGCTGGGCGCATTTTTGGCGGGGCTGGGGATCATCCTGGCGCGGAACGGGAACTCGGCCCTCGCGGCATCCAGGCGATCGCTTCGCCATCGGTTCCGAGTTCCGGGTGCCGAATGGGGTGCCAACTGGGGCTGAGATTCCTCGGGTTTGCGGCGTGCACGGCCCTCAACGTTTTGCAAGGGAATCCACGCGCTCTTTTTGGGGCAACAAGAAACTTGGCCCGTCGATACATATGGCCCTGGTTGAGAAATATGAGGGGTGTCCCTTCTAAAGGTTTGTGGTGTTGAGTTGGGAGGGGGACTCACTCAATCTCCCACAGTCCAGCGGATGCTAGGATCCCCCTTGAGTGGCCAATCCGGCTGGTCTCTGTGATTTAGACCTCGAATACCTCGACCCTGCAGCTGCACGGCCCATCTGGAAAGCAGATCCACCCCTTTTCGATAGAGCCCGCCTGGTCTACATTTCCTGGCAACGATGTATCCTGTCTGGGGTGGTTAGCAACTCAACGTTCAATTGAGCAGCTTTCACGGGCAGGTTACTTCGGGAGAGTTTTTGTCAGTAGCCGCTATCATAGCAAGCCTCCCCTGGTACCATGGTAAGTAGGCAACCAATCTCCCAGATCATTTGCCCAGCATGCAACGTAGAACCGCAAACTGACCATCACTTACCACACACCACACACCGGTTTACTTTGTTGATCTGGTAAAATAAAGGACCCCCAACCAAGAGGATTCCGAAACTTTCATTTTGACCACTGGGCACTAACATTTCACGGGATGTCAAAACTGAATTGGGGGTAAAAGCCAAAAGCTGTAGCCAAAGCGGTCAAAGGGGTCAAAAGGGAAGCCCAGATACCTGACAGCCCAAGAAGGGAATGCCTATTCGTGATCTAGCACCAAGAGCCACGCACCCACGGCTTCCTTTTAAGCTGTGCCTCTAGTACAGGATTTTCTCAAAACCATTGGGCAACCTGCTGTCCGAGCTACAGTTTTTGTTGGGCTTCAAGGCTCAGGTCTAGAGACCTGACGCGACCGTTCCCACGGGAGGTACCGCCACTGCGCCGGAGCCATCTTTGCATTGCTCGCCTCCGTGCGATTTGCGGGGTCCATCGCGGGCTTTCTGCTGATGCCGGCCGCGTCAGGCCGGAAATTCCGGCGGCAAGCCTCGGGCATGAATTTGAACCAAACCTATGGTGGACATCATTTCGGAGGGGGTTCATGTCCACCAACCATTTTTGAAGGCGGTCCCCTATTCAAGTTTATGGCCATTTCTGCAGCACAGATGGTGCTGAGGGTGGTTGTAGCTTTGCAGATGCAGGCCAGCAGAGAGTTCATGTTTAATGGGTCTCTTTATTGGCTTGTTCGACAACCCTGGAACTGGCGCCCAAGTTCAGCCCTGGGAGACGCTGCTGGTCCTAGCAGGGGCCTCGGGAAAGATTTGCGCCGGGCAGGTTGGGCTGCGAGCTCACGCGTTTGCGCCGGCGAGCTTGCTTGACACTTGAGCCGTGGGGCCGTTTGCGCTTTTGCTTGTGCCAAAGAATTGTCCCACCAGCTTGGATTGGTGATCCGGGCCTTAGCGGACTGGAGGTTCCCAGACAAGGTGAAAAGCAAGAGGAAAACCAGCTTGCAGTTTGACCACCTTGTGCACGTGACTGGTTGTATCTGTACGCTGCAGCACACGCGTTGGCAAGCTTTGAGCAATGCTGTCGTACAATGTTCGACGCCGGCCCCTTGACGGTTTCCGCGTTCTGTTTGTCGTCGTCACTGCTACGTGGGGAGCTGCTAAATGGAAGGCTCAACCCTGAAGACATGAAACGCGCAGTGGAGCGTGAACTGCTGTGGGCCCTGCGTGGCTACTCTTGCGACCTTTCAACTCCGAAGGAGTTCTTCTTCTCGCCCGCAAGAGGCTCAGATCGCCACTCCTGACAGACGGCGTGTGGAAAAGGGTGGCCTGTGACAAGCCAGCGGCTAGAGGCGGCCCGGAGCCCTTTCGTGTCGACCGCTGAACTTGCAGCGAGGTGCTCGCCAAGGCCCTCGGCGCAAACCCAAGCCATCCCAAGTTCCATCTGAGCCTGGCGAAGCCCAAAGCGGGGCAGCCAAAAGGGGCGCTGCAGTGTGCATCGCAACTGTGCCAACGTGTGAAGCAGCTGACTGCGCTTTGCCGCTTCGCAGTTCTGAGCTGAAGGCCAGGGTTTGCTTCTGGCGAGGTTGCATTTGGCGCGTGCCACCCTGCAGACATGGAGCACGGCGTAGGGGGTCACGCCACCAAGGCCTTGATTGACGCTGCTGATAAGCCGTCTCAGTTTCAAAGTGACGCTGGGCCTCGCCTTTTCCATCCGTCGAGTTTGCCCATCTCGCCACAAATATGGCAACTTTGAATCTTGAGTCCGGGCATTTGGCCCCCACGGCAGGACTTGGCTGTCCGTTGGTCATGCGGCTCTGGTGTTGTTCGGGTACCGTAGTCAGTGGCACTGCGCGGCACTTCCCAAGTGGCGCACACCGCGCTTCAGTCAGGCACAAGTGGCAGTCCTGATGGGGGATTGGAACCCCTCGTTCCTCCAAACCTCCAAGCCAATCCAAACCGGTCAGTAGGCAGCCAAAGAAATTCGAGCGTCGGCTGGAGGCTCCTGGATGGAGTTCCTCGTGCCCGCCTCCCTGGGTGCCTTGGCTGGCGCCTCGCTGCTGGCCGCCGCCCACACCCCGCTCTTCCGAGAGCCCGAAGGCGCGGGCGAGGGGAGTTCAGTCTCCGCTGAAAACGGCACCCTCCAAAACACACAGGGGAAGGGGTGGGCCATAGCCTATAGCACTTGCAGCTTCTTTTTTTTTTGTTTTTATCGAGGCGCTGGTTTTGTGGGGCTGCAAGACAAGATTTCAGAGGGTGGCCTTGTGTATCAGATGAGCATTGGGGCTTGATATGGATGGAGCGCCAACCATGGCCGAGGCCGAGGCCCTTGCTTAGTGGGGAAGGGGTTGGGCTAGGGACTAGGGAGAAAGCTAGCGATACCGGAAGTGGCTACCCATGCAACTCTTCCTGGGTATTGCGTGCTTTGAGCAGCTGTTCTTCATCAAGTTGGCAAGAGGTTGCTTCCCTTTCTGCCTATTTGTTGCTCATGAATCACTCAGTGGACTTTACTGGCATCCTTTTTGACGGCCTTGGTCTGATGGCCTCAGTCAACAGTGGTTAACAGTGGCAGAAAGCACCTGCTTTACCATTTCTGGGATGGGATCACCAAGTTTGGAGCCATACAAGGGAGTCATTCTCAGTATAAACGCACTGGATTGGATGAGGGGCCAAAAAATACTGCCAACTGTTCCAAGATTGTTCCAGTGGGGATCTTTGTCCTAGACATGGCGTGCTTCAGGGGACTCTGTGGCAGGCGAGGGCGAGACGGGTCCTGCAGTGGTGCTGCTCACCAACTACGTGTGCTTTGCCGCTGAGACGCTGCCCAAATTGCAAGGAGGGGCAACCCGACATGGCAAGGGATGAACTAGACGGTAATTACATAGGTATATACATAGACATCCCCTATAACAAGATGGATTCAGCACATTCTTTTCTTTTTCTTTCAAGAACTGAGTTTTCTCTTTGGGTGGAGTGGTGTGTAAAAGCAAATGCGGAGGACCTGGTACATATCAGGTGTTTGGATTGTTTGTTCCAAGGGCAGACCTACCTCCTAGGCGCACTTGGGGAACGCGTGATCTTGTCGATGGCTTGTCCAAGGGTTCCAGAATGGTACCCGTAACGGCGTAGCCCTCAATTTGCGCTCCATATACCACCCATCTGCCCCGTCTGCAACACTACCTCCTCCAAAAGACTCTCATTTTCGGAGAGGTATGACATCCATGGTGCAATTCTGCAACCTCTGATTTATACGGTCGGTTGGGAAGCTTTGAGATGATGAGGCAACACCGATTTGGAGTCATATCAATACCTCCCTAAAGCTCTCAAAAAACCTGCACGGCAGAGTGTGCAGCGGGGAAAATCTAAATTGAACCCCTTCCGGTTGGGGAGAAGTCGGTGCTTGCTTGCAGGAGAACCAACCTACACTTGGGACAGAAGTGATTGCCACAATTTCCCCTCCCAAAGACCTCGGTGAATCTCCAAGACCAGACGCCTATATGAAGCTTCTATTTCGTGGGGGGCAACTACCAAAAGGGGGTCCTTTTCTTGCCCATGTGGGGACTAGCAATGGCTGTGATACATTGGATCTGCATTCCCGTGACTAATGTTTAAGACAACAGTCCAAGGGATTTCCTTGGAATGCAGATCTGCAACTGTTGCTCCTGTTTGCAGAACCACAACCCCCCCAACTTCTTTGCCTCCTTCCGAGGCTTGGCGATTCTCGCTCAATCCTTTACAGCCAATGCATTTCAACCTCCCATTGAACTAAATTTTCTGTACCTCTCTGTTCTTGGCAAGTTTTCTTTTTGTTGGGGGAGCTCTGTTCATTTTCAGTAGGCTGCACAAGAACAACCAGCTCTTTTGCAGGCACATTCCAAGGGTTGGTTCTCCACGTGTAACCCGATGGCAGGTACCGCCAGCCGCATCCAAGTGATCAGCTCCAAACCTGAAGTGGAAGAGCTCTGCCGCGAGGCCGGCGTCCACTTCAGGCGCGTGGCTGGCTGGGGGGGTGGGGGGGTGGGCGGGGGGCGAGCTCACCTCGTTTGGTGCACCGATTGGATAATGTTTCGGTCTTTGTGGCATCACATGATGGCTAAATGTTCGTTTGAAAGGCTTTCCCCAAGCCCTGGTCTTGGCAGCTTGGATCCTCAGATCTTGGGAACGATTGTTCGAAGCTTAGGCTGGCCAAGGGTTTTGCGACACTCCGGCAACCATTGGGTGGAAAATCAACCCCGTAGACTCTCTGAGGGGAATTCGCCGTAGGTTTCCCCAAAGGGAGCACCCTGCATGAAAGATGAAGGGGCGTCCAAACCTCCACTCCCAATTCACACGTCCGATTTCAAACGCCAATTCACACTTCCCAATTCCCAATTCACGCATCCGAACGCCTCAGACCTCGAAAAACGACCCGAGGTCCAGAAAGCCCCGCCCAAGTTTCGGGCCCCCCGGTCTCCGAGTCTCCGAGCCTCCGAGTCTCCGAGCCGAGGCCCTTCCCGGCTTGCGAGACCTTGGCCTTCGCGCGGCTCCTGCGGGAGGACGCGGAGCTCCAGCCCGCAGTGGCGGAGGTCTGGCGAGACCTGCGGCTCTGGGGCCCCGACGTGCTGGTCACT